CGGCCATGGGGGCCCTCTTCGAACGCATCATCCCCCAAGCGCAGCTTCGCTTCCTGACCAGCAGCTGTCTGGCAGATCATTCCTTGTTCAAGGGATTAGTGGGCCTCCCCGACTGCTTCTACGGGCCCGCACGCGTGGTGTCTCTCTTTGGACAGGGTGAGAAGAGCTACGAGCTGAAGATCGACGACACCCCGTGCGTCGAGACGTGGAGGAAAGGGCGGGGCCTGCTTGAGTTCCTCCGCGAGCCGGGCGGAGTCCCCTTCTTCTTTCCAGAGGAAGGAGCTGGACCTGATCACGCCTCGTACCTGAGAATCGGCGACGAGCGGTGGCTCGCCATCCTGCAAGCCAAGTGCCGCAAGAAGGTGCCAAACAAGGCACATGCTTTGGGCTCGCTCAACATTCGGACCATGTACAGAGGCGTGAAGGAAGGTAAGCGAGAAGAGAAGCGCAGAGAGCTGACGTCTCTCCTCAAGCAGAGGGGCGTGAAGGGTATCCTGCGAATCCTCCTGGCGTACCCGGCAGAGGTCAACGCGGCCAGCTATACCCTGTCCACGCTTAGGCAGTCTGAGCGGCAGCGGCTCCAAGCAGAGGAGGGGAACGAATTCGAAGTCGTGCAGCTGTGCATCTCAAAGTCGAATGCGGAGCATTTCCTGACGGCCAATGAGCGGCGTCACCTGGATTGTCTCAAGGACGTTTGATAGCGCAATGCATTGTGAAATCTCGCAAGGGGTTTGACGGCAATGGGGTCCGTTGCAAGTGGAAAGTAAAGAGGGTACAGATGGATTCGAGAGGACTTTTGGCTGGTTAGAAGATCTTCAAGGTTGGTGCCGAGTGCGAGGAGGGAGTGCACAAGGCAGTTCGACCAGCAAGAGGAGCCTGCTTCAACATTCTTGAGGGTGCCATTCTAGTGCTTCATTGTGCATACATATAAAGGAGCCGATTGGAGATTGAATTCAAACTCGCAATTGAAGGCCATGGAAGTTTGCAGCATTTGGATTGCTGTACATGTTTGTGTCCTCAAGTGTGAACTCAAAATAGGCATGTGACACTTGCATGATATCGCATGACGAGCGAAGAAGAAAGGCCTCGGCATTGTCACAATTGTTGCGCAACGCGATTTGACTCTGCTCGATTCCCCACTTTTCTCGCTTTGGACGGATCTCATTTGCTAATCACTCCTTCCAATGCTCCGGTTGCAAGGCATTGCACACGGTTTTGAAGCTGAAAGTATTCACTTGCTACCCAACATTGCGCATCCCCGCCATTGAGACAGCTTTGGAAGCCTAGAAAATGGCACTCATTGATAGCATCTCATGTCCGGCCCTTGGTCGCAAATCCAGTTTTGGAGGAAGATCATGCAAGTCCTCACGTGGTAAACCACCCAATCGGGCTCTTTAATTGACTGGAAAAATCACGTTGGATCTCTGTTTCCCGGCGTGCAATGTACATGTACTCTTCAGAGTGTCTCAATAGAGAAAGCGCAGCAACTTGAAATACATGTTTCACGTTATAAAGCACAGCTGCTCTATTGTGCAAGGGTTTCCATCGGGATTCATACGATGGTTTGTCAAATAGCTGGGAAAGTAACATGCATGCTGCTGATCGCTCCACCGACCACTTATTCGAAGATCTTCTTCAAAGCCATCATTGGTGACTCGTAAGTCAGATAGTCTAAATGCAATTTTGAAGCTTCAACTGACCCACCAACGCTGGCATACCTCTACGATTTCGTCTGTTCAGTATTTTGGCATGGATCGTGTGTGTTGGCTACATACAAACTGAAATTTCAAGCGAAGACATTTGTGCGCAAGGGTTCTGGAGTTGCCAAAAAGGCCCGGCACAGAGCTGAGGGCCCGGCATTCACCATTACCGCGCTGTGGTGGACCGTTCCCACCCAGGTCCCAAGTTGGAGCAGAGCACTCCCTGGCCCTGGCCCTGGTAGCAAGCAGATGCCCCAAACTCGCGAAGGTTGAAAGGTCATTCACGTTGAACACTGTTGGAGATCAGCTCTATCAAGCTCGGTTCTTCAGAATTCCAAAGGTGACTGGGAGTTCAAGTCACGCGCGGTGACTCATAATCCGGGTCATCGGTACAGTGGCGCTGGCAAGGTCTGGCATCCTTTGGCGTCCTGCGGCGGAGCTTGAATCTGCTTGTTTTGCTGCCAGGTGTCCTTCTAGAAGCAAGAAACTGCTTTTCTAGGTCAGCAATAGGTCGGCAATCGGTGACCTGGCACACTTTACGGCGGCACCCGATGGCGCACTCTGGCTCACTTTGGCAGCTTAATGAGGGTGTTTTGATGGGCTGCAATGGTCCTCAACTTCATTTCTCAGAAAAACAAAGGGTCCATTTCTGGAGGGAGCTCTCTGGGAAGCTCGGAAGCTGGCAATCTGTGGGCAGCGCGTCGTGCACGCAGGCGTCTGGTGATGCTCAGGTAAGAGCAGCTTGCCTTTCATTCTTTCTGACAATCCCGAGGGCCTGTGCTGTCTCCTTCAAGTGGATGTTTCTGGGTCTTTGTGTGCTTGCAAAAGGATGCTGTTGGGCATGCTGAAGCATGACCAGGCATGCCTATCTCATCAGCATCAGCGTGCAATTGTGTAAGCAATTAGCAACCCTAATCGCCTTGGCAAACCCAACAATACATCTTGCAGGCATGCATGCATGTGCATATTGTTTTATAACCTTGATGCAGGCTGATAGCTCAGCAACAGCAGAGTGTGTGGACAGCCGCACTGTGCATCAGCTTTCAAGGTAAGCCCTTGCGCCCAGGCTTCTGCGCGTCTGCAGCTGAGTGGCCTGCACGCCTGTTGGCTTGCAGGATTGTTTTCAAAAACAGGACTGCTTTCGGCTGATGGTTCAGCTAAATTCTCTCCTGTTAGCAATTCCTCGATCCTCTCCTTGACCAGCAATTGCTCGTCAATGTGTTTTTAAAACCTGGGGGATCCCTGAGTGTTGTCTGGTCATTTATTGCAACAGATGGCAGACACTACCATGCCACAACAGCAAGGGCCGGCAGCCCCGCTGTTTGAGGGCAAGGAAGGCACCCCTTCTGTTGGATTACCGCCTTCCATCGGGGTGAGCTCATCAACGCTGATCTGTGCGTGCGAGGTCAGGCCATATGGAACAGATCAGTCAAAGCTCCGATTGAAGAGACCAATTGGAGTTTAATTACACAGACCAGCTGTTGCAGTTTGTGACCTCCTGCCAGGCACTTTCCTTGGTCCTTCTGCAGTCAACAAATGAAAGCTCTGACAAGTTGCATTGGCTTGGAGGCTCAGATGAATAATGCAGCTGGTGCAAACTGTTGGGCCTTGCCAGGCACTTTACGGGCCCTTCTATGTTTAGTAGAGCAAAGGTCTGAAGGGCTGACAATTTGCTTTGGGCTTGGAGGCTGGTGCAAACTGTCAGCTCCTGCCGCGCAATTTCCTGAGGTTCTTGTGAGATTCATGGCGCAATCTGCTGGACAAAATGCTAAGAATTTTGCCAGACACTCAGCCAGACAGCAGCAGAGACACATGTGCCTTCGGTGATGTCATCGTAGGCTCTCTCTCTGCAGGGGGGGAATCAAGCAACAAAGGAAGCCACCCCGCGCTCATCTGGTGCTGCACCCAATTTGAGCAGCCCCTTGGTTCACCCCATGCATGAGGTGGTTCCTGGCGCAAACAGTGGCGCGGAGTCAAAAGCTGGGGTAAGGCCAGCATCTTGGATGCAGCTTACGAGGCTCTTCAGGATCATGGGCAGAATGGCCAGGTTGACTGCAAGTCAGAATGTTAGCCGTGGAAGTCTGGAATGCTTATTTTCATGGAGCAAGTTTTGACTGCCCCCCAGCGCTGATCCGTACAACACTGTTAGGATCAGGGCTGGGGCGGGAGTCAATATTTCTGTCGTGAGAGTCAGGAATGCTTATATTCATGGGGCAAGTTTTGACTGGCCCAGCGCTAGGCCTTACAGTACTGTTAGTACTAGGGCCAGGGCGGGAGTCATAATTTCTGACGTGGAAGTTTGGAATGCTTATACTTTGAAGGGAAGTTTTGACTGGCGGGCGCTGCCGCTCCAAGCATTCTTCAAGCTCGCTGTTAAAACGACTTGGAAGCTCTGGAAGTCAAAAGTTCTGTTGTGAAAATTTGGAATGCTTATATCACAGGTAAATTTTGACTGCCCCCAGCGCAGCCACTTGCAAAGGCATTTTCAATCAGGGCTGAGGCGAGAGTCAAAAGTTTTGCTGTGAAAGTCTAAAATGCTTATACTATGAAGGAAAGTTTTGACTGGTGGGCGATTCTACTCCAAGCGTTCTTCAGGATCACGGTTTGGATTGGCTTAGCAGAAAATCCTGCCTTGAAACGCTTGAATGCTTAGATTCATGGGGCAAGTTTTGAGTGGCCCCAGCGCTAAGCCTTACAGTACCTACTCTTAGATTTAGGGCCAGGGCTGGAGTCAAAAGTTCTGACGTAGAAGTCTGGAATGCTTTTACTTTGAAGGGAAGTTTCGACTGGTGGGCGCTGCCGCTCCAAGCGTTCTTCGAGCTCGCGGTTGGAATGGATTGGGAGCTCTTGAAGTCAAAAGTTCTGTCGTGAAAATCTGGAATGCTTATATCAACAGGTAAGATTTTGACTGCCCCAGCGCTGCCTCTCACAACGCATTCAGGATCAGGGCCGGAGTGGGAGTCCAAAGTTCTGTCGTTTGAGTCTGGAATGCTTATACTGTTGATGGAAGTTTTGACTGGTGGGCGCTGCCGCTCCAAGCGTTCTTCAGGATCCCATTCTGGATTGGTATACGAGCTGTGCGAGTCAAAAGTGTTGCCTTGAAAGGATTGAATGCTTATATTCATGGGGCAAGTTTTGACTGGCCCCAGCGCTAAGCCTTACAGTACTGTTAGTGCCAGGGCCAGGGTGAGAGTCAAAACTTCTGCCTTGAAAGGTTGGAATGCTTATGCTCACAAGGGAAGTTTTGACAGGTGGGCGCTGCCGCTCCAAGCGCCTGCAGGATCACTGTTGGATTGGCCTGGGGACATCTGGAAGTCAAAAGTTCTGTCTTGAAAGATTGGAATGCGTATACTAGCAAGGGAAGTTTTGACTGGTCAACTCCACCGGTCTCAAAATCCTTCAGCTCATGGGTTTGATGGTTTCAGCCCTGGTGTGATCTTGCTCGCGCTCTTTCGGGTTTCGCACTGCGGGTTTCTCATGCCCCTCGATTGACCCCTTGCACGACACGTGCGGCGCCCCCCGCGATGATGCTCTCCTGCCGTCAACCATCAGAGAGCTCGTGGCGAGCGCGGCCAGAGGCTTCCTCACCAACTCCAAGAGAGGCCACCGCATTTTCCAAAAGGTGGCGGGGACCCTGGGCCAGCGCGCTCAAGAGGAGCTCGGGTCTGCAGGCCTTCTCTGGTCGAAGGCTGCCTGGGATGGGAGCCTGCATGCCGCGATGGCAGCTCTCCAGTCACTGGCGGGCACTGTAGACGCTGGCTTGCAAGAGGGCTTCGAGAAGGTCTTGACATCGATCAGGCAGGCCCACATGGAGGGGCTCAAGCAGCGAGAGAGTTCGTCCAGCAGAGTCTGC